AACTGAGTGTGGAGGAGAATTAAACACCTTTCTCGGTCGCCAACATGTCTCATCGTTCAAACCCTAGGCCTTTCAAGATAGTCTCAAAGTAAACCATGCCCAATAACCAGGTACACGCCTTGACGATCACATTTTTGGCTTTTCGAAGGCTACTACTCAAAGAAATAGGATTATTCCAGAATTGCAACATGATGTTCATCCTGAGTAAATGACAGAATAGAAACGATGCGAATCACGTTGTGTACGTTCGCCATGCACTCTGAACTTGAAATTAATGCGAGTTTTCTCATAAAACTAAAAGCATGAACCAAACTAACATGCCAATCACGATTATTATGAAATGAAACACACCTTTTACACGCATATCGTCGACGCCCAGTAAAAACACTCTGGGCTTATAATCGTGAATGCCCTCAACTCGATAAATACCAAGTAAAAACATAGGGATGGGCTTCATACTCGGGAGGGGCTTACGATCGGGGAAGTACGGTACTTTAACGCAATTGGGCTTTCACTCTCAGAATATTGTGGTTCAAACGCATAAGGCTCTAACCCAAGTTTTAAAAAGCACATTGTGCATATAAAAGTTGAGTTTATACTAATAGTACACAACGCTTGGCAGCATGAACGGCTATGTACAATGGCGTATACGAGTGCGATCCGTTGTGTCGTCACCTGTGTCATATGACGCCTTACTAGCCGATTTTGGCTAAAATTCCGCTCCGCCGCCTCTTTACAACAGTGTTTATACGCGGAACTTGATATTGCTTTTTACAATTTGGGTTGCCTTTGAATCACATATTTTAGTGAAACATTGTTTATAGAGTGAAATATTAATGTCATACATAATTCAATTTTTGAAACAACAGAAACTAATACATAATAACGATAATCAAATTTGTGTTTGAAGTTCGAAAGTAGTTGCGTTATTTCCGGTTTCAACTAGTTCGAAAATAGAACGTCCTTGAGCGCAATAAAATCACGCGTAGAACTCCATCTGAACCAGACTCTAGTAGCGTAAACTTATTGCAATTTGCGCCCAGTTTGTTCTTACAAGTTTTCTAAGTTTCATTTATCATTATTTAGTAAACAGGTCTCTGAAACGATTTAATATATTCGTAAAATACGTGGCAATCGACGATTGACTTCGAAACGTTCGAAATTTCGAACAAACTCCCGGCACACCTTGCGCGATATGCGTCAGATTGGTGTAGAAGACGCCGAACTGCAGCGTCAATGAGTGCGATCAGATACTAAAACGTCATAGCTTTGAAAAGTACCCGGATGTTAAATATGTTCATTCGTTAATTATTCCCCTCCATGAATGGCCTCCATGGCAAGCACTTCAAATGCCTATCCAAGCTACAGTTATAATTAAAACAAAATTAAACCACTGCAATATTATTTCGAATACAGTTTAGAATATACACAACTATAAATTAAGGCCGCATTTAGGTTCGCTTTAACTTTGATTAATTAATATTCAAATTACATAATTAATATGCAGAGATTTCAGCCAAAAGCTAATCAGGTCTGAGTATAATACTATTTTCACAAATGATTGACAATGTGTTTATCTTCAAAACGCCGTCGGGGCATTGCTTATTGTTGAACAGTGTTACAACAATCGTACAGACAACTAGCCAGGATGTTAATTTATGCATAAACTTGAAGTAGTGAAATTTGGGCTGCTGCCCTGCAAAATTGACAACTGGTAGACAGTTTTCAAGACGGCGCTTTCTTCATAGTAAACACATGTACCCACAAACCAATTTTGACAGGAAACAGAAGAATGGTTTAGGAGCTAATTTTTTTTAAAAAAAGCACATTTTTGTGCATATTTCAAACTACAGTGTCCATAACAAAAAAATACTAAAATAATTTTAAAATTCATACAATAAGCTTTCCGAAAATATATAGTTTTGTGGACAAGAGAGGTCATCTTGGTTTCCTAATTAACTAATTAAAATACCTGTCAGGTAAACTGCATCTCTACCTTAATGACAGTCTAGCCCTGGATTCATGTTGTCAAAGGGGGCGGTGTTTATTTTTGGTCATTGGCTGCCATGCAGCACCACCATGGATCCTGCTTTAGCAAAATTAGGTGGATGCATAACCATAATACAAAGAATATGCACGTCTACACCAGCAACAGCTTTACATTAATTGATTTCTCTTGCATAATATTTTAATGAAATTGTACCAAATTAGAAGTGTAATTGAAGTTTTCCTGGATAAATTGTTTTTGGTTCATCGATCTGTTTCATTCAAAACAGTGTGCATCTAATTCTATGTTTGAGTGGATAGCTGGCGACCTAATGTAAATAATGCAGAGCGATTTAAATTCATGAGAATATACGGTAGGTTATGTGATGCGCACTATGCTATCCACACAAATACGCATGTAACACAATTTACACATCGATCTCCGACATCCAA